TCATTTGTCAGTTATCAGCCCAGGTGCATACCTGATCAAGCTCCGTTTGTAAGATTTTGGCTTCGTCCTCTGAAACATCAGTTGGCGTCACCTGCAAATTTAAATACTTTCCCCGAGTCTGGGAATTCAGGTTTACTAATGTATCCAAGGATAAGAGGGAATCCCCATACAGACCCCTAAGGCACTCCACTTAATACCACCCCTCCCCCATTTTGACCTTGTACATCTGACAACAACTCTGCTTCCTTCTGTTTAGCCAATTGTGAATCCATGTTTTGGCCTTGATATGCAGTGACTTCAGTTTATGAAGGAGTCTTTCATTGTGGTACTTCGTCAAAAAACCTTCTGGAAGTCTACATCGTATGATATTCCACAGTTAATTTGGACCTCAAAAAGGTCGAGGTTGGTTAGACAAGATCTACCCTTTCTGAACCCGTGTTGGTGGTCAGTGAGTAGAATTTTTTTATATCCACAAGTAATCTTCCATCTCCTTTCTGATGATTGCTTCCATATTTTTTTCATTTATTGAGATGATGCATTTTAGTTGTCAGGGATACTATAGCCTTTCATACGTATGTGAATTATTATTTTATATGTAACATAGCAAAGATTAAGGAGTTGTGCTGCCATGTTTAACTGGCACAAAGTTTATTGATATGGTGGCTTTTGTGACGTCTACACATAGGACGAATGAGTTAATGTATCCTACACTGCAATCATCTTACTGACAGGAAACCTTGTCGCTCAGTAGAAGGACTTTCTTAGATCTAACTCCACCTGCGGTCATCTTTGAAAGCAGACTGAAAATTATCTTCAAAGCTCCAAGCTGGAACAACTCACATTCGGTCACTAAACATTAGCATTCAGACTTAACAGCCACTGCTGGTGCTCATTCCAAATTTAAGAAGAAACAAAAAATAAATGACCTGCCTTGTAAAATCTTCAAATCAAAAGTATTCTCTGCACACTGCAAAGCATTGTCCTATTTATGGCGTTCCAGCCGCATGTGGACATTCAATGAATGTCTTGTAAAGTAGCTTCTTTCCTCCTACACAAGGAAATGTATATTTATTTCATACGGCATGATTGTTTCAGATGCTCTTTGGATCCCGTTGTGAAAATTTGCATTCTGTTCACAGCTGTGTTCAATTTTAATTCCCACCTTTCGAGTAAATTCACAGACACCAACCCTCCTCCCTCCCCGCGTCTCTTTTACCCACATAAGTCAGTGATTTGACCCAACCAGGAAAAAAGAGCAAGGACAACATATTGTAAGCTTTAACCTAATTCCTCAACAAATATGAATCTTCCTTATGAACTCTTTATATCACCAAATATTTAAAATTAGCATGTCGCTAAGAAGCACATCTTGATTCAGAGTATTCTATAGCGCCTTATCACGTCTTCAAGACGTCTCAAAGCCCTTCACAGAATATACTGTAAAGTGAATGGACTGTATATTTTGTGGGCAAAAATATTCTCTGGAATAGGTAAACAGGGTACATCCCTCAAGGGAGAAAGTGCACATTCCGTTCCTTACAAATGGGAAATTTCCAAGCATAGCTAATAAACATACGTAGAACTTTCAACCTGGTTTCGATACACTTAAGCACGGCAACTGGTTCCACTTGTTTCAGATTACTGGCTGGCCAAAACTGTGCTGAAATACTACTGTATTAAAAAGGTTTAAGATGTGTGTCAACAGAAAAAAATAAACCTGTAAGATGTACTACAGCTACAGATGAATACATCCATTTTATGCCAGCTCGTTTTTTATGTTAATATTGATTTATATGCACATAAAAAAAATCTAAAGGATGTTCCCGTAACCTAGCCTTATTTTATTTTTCCATTTTTATGTACGTTTTGATTTTTTTGAAACTGATAGGAATAACCTCATCAAAAACAAAATCCATACTGCTGTTCAAAGAATGTACAAAATCACATCTAATATAATGCAGCTTTAAAAATGTAAGTGCAAATCTTTATTACACAAGATGCTTTCCAGTTGATTGAAGAAACAATTGATTCCTGAATATACGCAAATCTATCTTTACCTCGTGACTGTTTAACATAGTGGAACCAGCGTTAAGACTGGGAATAGGAATGTTCATGACCGGACATCTGTCACGTATTTTCATGTGGAAGTATTCGTATAAAGCTCTTCAATTTGCTTCCGAAAGTAATTCCGGAGCTCTGGCCGCTTAGCCTTCAGGGTCGGAGTCAGTAGACCATTTTGGATAGAGAACATTTCACAGTGGATATAGATGTCTTTTACCTACAAACCAAAAGTAATCAAACCAATTCACTTGTTCATATAGTCATTCCTGTCATTTTTTTGAAAATATAATGCAGCATTTCTATTTATTTCCTTTTGCTGCCCAATTGATGCAAACTTATTCAACCACAAGGGGATAGATTGCTAACTCCCTCCAAGATCTGCAACCAATGTTGCTTGCTCTTAATGTTAAAAGATTTACAAGAATTACTCAGGCCACTCCCATCACATTCTGTCCATTGTATTCACATTTTGTTTCTATTTCAAAAAGATGAGACTTAAAGATAACTTCATTAAACTCTTTTGATCAGTCAGAGGTTGACAAAACACATGCATGAGTGTCTTGGCAGCCTGAGGGCAGAGGTAGTGCCATTCGGCCCATTTAAGGAAAATAATCCAGCCCAAAACATCTTACCTGTTCAAAAGAATAAAGGCCAGCCTGCTTTCCAAGCTTTACCATGTCCTCCATGATTGCCTTTTTTAATCCCTAAATATAATCAACAAAATCAATTAAGTATAAAACACGAGGGAGAAGACTCCTGTAAATTCCCCGTTAATAAAAGAAAATAAAGTACCGTATTTACTCAAATCTGAAGCTACCTTGAATGAATTACGCAGGAATATTTCAGACGGTTTGGGTGGGGGAAAAACCAAAGTTCCTCCAATTCCAAGTCAAGTCACAGAAAACAAATACTTACCATATATATTTTACACAATGCATCAATCTGTCCTTCCCTCCTCCAGCTGGTGAACAGTTCCCACCAATGAGATCAATAATATCACGTAACAGCAACTCAATCTTTGCAAGGTTGGTGAAGAAGGGAAACCTAACAGATCTCTGATAAGGTTATGAGGTTTCGTTGAGCAGATCTGAAGTGCCAGGGTTACAGACAATAAATAATCCGTTCACTTACAAAGATACAGCACCTTTCACATTGGCAGGATGTCTCAAGTACCACAGGATAATATTAATAATCCTTGCACTTGATTTAGCGCCTTATCACGTCTTCGAGACGACTCAAAGCGCTTCACAGAATACACCGTAAAGTGAATTGATTGTATACTTAGTGGGCAAAACTGTAAAGTGTATACTGTAAAGTGTTATGACCATAGATTATGTAGGTGAACGTGGCAGCTAATTTATGCCCAGGAGTGCTCCACAAACAGCCATGAAATGAAACACAAATTCCACTTTGGGTATGTTGTCGTGGGTTCTATCCCCATGACGTGAGCATATTTTTGCAACAGGTCAATAGTTCATTTATTCTCTTGAACACCGCTTTGAAGTTCAAGATGGCAGACAAACGACATCTGCTTTTGCATGCTAAAGAATGTAAACATACCACATTGTTTTATCATTCATCAAAGATAAATGAGGAAGTTAACCAGTCTACTGCAATGTTTAAACTGCCAAGACTCAGCACTTCTGTGTATATTTACATAAAATAAGAATGTTGTATATTTTATTTATTTCATCTATCTCATTTATTTAAACTCTGCATATAAATCGATTTAATGTTGGAATCGAGTCAATCCTCCGTGGCGCTGCTGAAATCAGCCCAGCCAGCCTGGCTTATTGCCAGTACTTGGAAAGGCAGACCAGTCCCTCGGGCAGTGATTCTTCCCACAAAGCTTTTGTTAACCCTGCAAGCCAAAGCCCTAATGGTTAAAGTGGTCCTAGTTGGACAAGCAGTTGGAGAGCTTGCCAGGCAGCGCTTTCAATGACAAGCTATGCGTTTTTTTTTTAAGTGGTTAAACTCCCAACAGTTACCCCAACGCACTCTGGAGTCCTCAAGCTTTGGCTCTTGCCAGCCTGCACACAATACTCTCCAGAATTAGTTAAGTAGGATGTATTCCTTCAGGGAGAGAGTTTGCATTCGATCCCCAAACATGGGAATGTCCATGTGTAGGTGGACCTCGGTTTAGTTTACATACTCCTTGGCACGATGATGGGTTTCCATATTACACCAAGACCCACAGCAGACCAAAAAAAACTACAAGATGTATACAGTGGACTGTAATGGACTGTAATGACAGCATTCCTCTTGTGTTAGATGGCCACATTACATCTGCAAAAATCTGCAGCATTGCATCCGTAAAAATCCTCCATATAACAATGCGCACAGTATCATTGAGGCTTTGCTCGTCCCAGAGAGAAAAAAATAAAACTTACCTAATGCATTCAATGCTGAATGTCATTCTTAGAACCTACCTTTGCTTTACACAGCTCTACAAATGGACCCTCAAATCCCCTTTTCCTTGCCCATGCATCTGCGGCTTCTGGATCAGGTACAACAATACCCACTAAGAAGGACTACGACAAAGCAGGGAAAAAAAACACACATTTACGAACGTTTCACAATATATTCAGTTGAAATAAAGTTTCAAAATATCTGAACCACTTTATTGAAGGTTTTTCATGATGAAATGAAGTTGCAGAGAAATAAGTGTTTTACAACTAGAAATGTATCCAGCAACTAAAAATTTATCCAGCAACTAAAAATGTCCTGCAATTGGGTCTTCAATTGGGTTTTGTGTAAATTCATTTTTGCAGTTAATTGCATGGAATAACTTAAATATACGTTTACCTGCAAACTGTCTCCATGGACGTACACTTGGGCAACTGGCTCACTGCGTATATAGATATTCTCAATTTTTTCTGGAGCAACATATTCACCCTGAGCAAGTTTGAATATGTGCTTCTTGCGGTCTATGATTTTTAAGGTGCCATTCTGTGCATCAGGAAACAAACCGAAAAAGGAAACATGTAAAGTTTATCAGTCATGGTTGATCATTTAAATAATATGATTTTAAACTGATATCTTTACTCACTCCCTCCATTATCTTGTTCAAGCTCCACCTCAAGACCATCGTTTACTGTGTTTTTGGTATTCACCTTTCATTTGTGCTGAACAGGTAAATCTCATAGTCGTATAATTTGAACTTATTGTATTACAACAACAACTTGCATTTATATATCGCCCTTCACGCCGGTCAGCTTCTCGGGGAGCTTGTATAGCTTATAAGGTTACAGAGACAACATTCTTTAATGCTTCGTCATAACAAATCTGAAGTTATCAAAAAATGCTCATGCTCAGTGGATCACAAATGCATGATAGTCACTTACAGGTAACCACTTGCCAATGTCTCCAGTGTGTAGCCATTCATCTTCATCCAGAGCTTCAGTGGTTTTCTTAGGATCTTTGAGGTAACCTTTAAATACATTTGGTCCTTTCACACAGATCTAAAGTGTATCAATTAAAAAGTAATCACAAATCAAAAAAAAAATAAACATGTACATTTACCTCCCCTTCACTTTTTCTTTCAGGCTCCCATTTTACATCAGCTCCCAGACTTTTGCCTAAGCCGTCCTTGAAACAGCTGAAAGATGTATAAGAGGAGCTCAGGGTAATTGCCAAGTATTACTCCAAATTTGTGATCAAACATTCACATTCATGGCGGCATACGCACAACTGAAAATCTGATTTATGGGAAGTCAAGTGGACAAATTGGAATGACAAAGATAATACAAATTAGCAACTTAGTCACCAAATTGCCTGCTGCCTTAATTTGGAAGTGGTGCAAAGCCTGAGGGAAACCTATTGCAGTAAACGCCTGATAAATTGCCACTCCAAGGGAAAAAACAGCTCAGTGACTATTTATCTGCGGTAAAACTCATATAAGTCGTATCGGTTGAAACCGTAACGTCTAATATGACTTTGGTCAAAGTATGAGTTAAGTCGAACTTGCATAAGTCATATCATATATGACTTATATAAAATTATGTATAAGTCAGATTTTATATGCCTAACAAATAAAAGCTACTGAACTGGCTGGCGACATTAAGGCAAAGTTTCTGTACCATGTCTAACCCATACATGTTAAAGCTATGGTAGCCCATTCTTTCCATACACAGTACTGCACGGCGCTGTAGCAGCTCATGTGCAGAAAGCATGTACTGTACAATGAATGGCACAACCAAACAGGTTTCAAAACAGAGCTGTTTTATATCAGAATATAAACTCTTTCAAAGCACCATTAACACTGTAACTGCTGAATTAGCAACCAGTACAGATAAGTGTGGTTCGGCAATTTATTTTACATTTTAATTACGGGATTGTCTACTTGCGTTTTAAGCGGAGTGATGAATATAGCAGAGTCCCTTATTCGCATTTTGCATGGGAAGCAGCTGGGATATGGATAGCTTGGTGCTTGGTGGTTTAAGCCATTAGACAATTTCTGCCAGTGTTTTATCATGAGTAGTTTACCGTATTAGTAAATAAAACAATGCTTACCTCACCTTCTCCTTTTGCAGAAAAATATTTCATATCTCTTACATCGATAAGTTTGATAAAATTACAAGGTAGAGGAGCCCCAACATGACCTACAAAGATGAAAAGCAGCACTAATCATCAAAGTTAAGGTTTGAGAGTTGATCTCAGGAGATGGGAGGCATACATTTAAGTGAGATTTGAGGTGGGGTACTCAATTGTGAATATAGAACTAACCACCCGCTCAAAACTTGTTAACTATCTGACTCAGAGGCAAGAATGCTGCCAACTGAGCCCAGGCTGAATAATTGCAACTAAAATTGAAGTGGTTTCTATTGAATTGTAATGGACACCAGGGCATAAACATCTCGAGCTATGTACTCTGAACCTCTTGATTGGATTATTAGTTTTTTTTCGAGCAATTCGTGAAATCCATTCTTCCATTTTATAAATGTTAACTAATTTCATAATTTCTCCAGGATTCAATTGCACTGAAACTTTCTGACGTCTTTGGCCTGCATTAGGAAATAGAAAATGGCAAACTCCAGGGGCTAGCCACATTTTAAAGTGTTCAGTTCAGACTGTGATCAGACAAGACACAACGAAAAAAAAGCTAATAGTAATAATTATAATTCTATTTGGCAATTTCAAGAGGTACACATACCTGATGTCCAGTCTCCAGGTGTGGTAAAGGTACATCCGGCTGTGCATTCAGTCTGCCCATAACCTTCATAGACCTAGCATATGACAGCAGTTAGATTTTTCAACAAAAAATTATTAGAATAAAATTCTAATCAAAGCAACTTCTTAAAAGTGATTATGTGCTGTGGATTTTCACATAATGTTTAATACTGTACTACAAAGGGAGACAGACATCGATGTATTTCATGGTATCTCTCAAAATCCCTGGTACCGCGATTGAAGTTTTAAAAAAAAAGCAAATTAGAAATATAGTACAGCCCTTTTTATAATGCACTTCATTATGAAGTGAATTCAGTTGCATGCGCAAAGGAAGTGATTTATAGGCAAACGCGGCAGCTATTTGGAGTCCTATAGCTTAGCGTCGCACAAACTGTCATGGATTGAGTGACCACATTTTAAAAAAAGAAAAATTATAAGCACTGTAACACTGTCATACCTGGCACCCCAGGGCTGCTCTTAGGAAACCAAGTACTGCAGGAGAAGCAGGAGCAGCACCAGTGATGATCATTCTAACCTCCCCTCCGAGACTGTTCTGTGTAAAAAAGCGTTTTCAGTCATTCAAAGGAATATGGTAATCAGAAAAACAATGAAGGTATTTGGCAATCGCTATTTGGTTTGCTTGTATCCTTCGTAAACAATATCTGATGTGCAATAACAAATTCCTCTCTTGCGAGGGACTTTGTTTTTGTCATGTTACAACAACAACAACAACAACAAGATTCCATTTATAGAGCGCCTTTCACGTCAGGAGGACGTCCCAAGGCGCAAAGAAGTAAAGGCCTTATGAAGAAGTTAAACCCATGGGGTCATCAGCAAGCCAATCCTGAATGACAAAACGTCCAAGCCAGGAAACCTCTGTAGGAGTTTGATGCTGGAATGTAATTATACTGTCTGCAGCCTCTCACGTTCTTTTGTTTGGTTTTCATTTAATCTTTGGTTATCCCAGGGACTTCCATGTTTTGCCACAGTGTTAGGAACAGTCTTTGGAGGTACACCACTCACACTACAATCTGCCAGCTCCACTATTCAGTTAACAATGATGACATTTGCATGTGTGTACAATCAAATACGCACACAGTGCAGAGCAGCAAATACTATAATGTGGACAGGATGTTTTCACCACTGGTCTGGTCTTTGGGAATTTTAGGTGGGAGTGTGCTTCAAGAAAGTGTCCAGGAGAACAGCAGATCGAAAGGAACCAGAACACAATCGCTTACCCGATATTAATCGCTGCTTCCTACGTTACACATTAAATCACGACAAGCCTTGCTTCACCATGTGCTTCAGCAATTTTGCAATTTAAACGTCTGCACACAAGGTGATACAGACAATATGATGTTCTCACACCTGAGCACAAAACTTTGCTGTCAATAATCCATATGGAATTTTTTTTAAAAACGGAATAATAGCTCTGTGAAATCTTACCTGTATTTTATTGAAAAAGAATTTGTCCCACAAGCTGTTGTTCCTTATAATACCATTTCGCACTTCAATTTCCTTCCTCTTGGCTGCAAATTTCAGTAGCCAGCGTTTTACTGGTGTACCTGCTTGGCTAAATATCTAAAATGAATAGAACAAATGTCATGTAAAATGGGATAGTGTTTTGGGGGCTCTTTAATGACTTGGGCGATTTCTCATTATACGTACGCAAAGTCAAAGAACGGGTTGAATTTACCTCCTCACAGAGTATTTTTGCAAGTCAAGCGAGGAACATCTTTGCTGATTAGCTTCTCTATTTACCATTCTCTTGTTCAGAATGTCCCACCCAAAATGTTAGTGAACGTTCACTCCCCTTATTATGCTGTGTTCGTGTTCAATCAAGTGGCTTAATCAGACCTATTGTCACATATATGCCAATTAAGTTCTTTACCCATCAACAACTTGTGTTTATATATTGCCCTTCACGAAGACTAGTGTCTTTTGACGTTGAGCCAAGATGAAAGGACGTTGTTGAAGAAGAAGTTACAAATATCTTCATGGTTCTGCCCCACCCTGCCTCTGCGATCACCTACAACCTTACCGATCAGCTCAGCCCCCCACCCCCCACCCCCATTCACTCAGCAAACGGGCGGGCTTTCAGCCATTCTGGTCCCCTTCTCTGAACCTCTTAACTTTCTTCAGCTGAATAATGACAAGACAGAGGCGGTCCTGCTTTGCTCCCATCAGCATCTTCTCACCTCGAGTGCTGACAGCATCAACCTCCATGGGTGCACACTCCACCTTGTGGTGTTGGTGTGGAACCTCAGTGTTTTGTTTGATTCCCAATTACTTTCACACCCCACATCTGAGCTCTAACCCACTCAGCTTTCCATCTCAGTAACATTGCCCTCCTCTGCCATTAACTCTACTCTTAGGCTGTCAAGACCCTCAGCCATGCCTTTATCAGATCCAGGCTTCACTACGCTACGTCTGCTCACTGGATTCCCCAGCTTTTCCCTTCACAAGCTGCAGATCATTCAGAACTTTGCGGTATTGCATAACAGGTTACATTGCAACAACGGCCAATCGTCAGGGTTTCATGTTGTCAAGTTGCCAACAATGTCACTAAACACGCATACATACAAGCAACAACAAAAACTTGCACTTATATAGCGCCCTCCACACAGGGTAGAGTCTCAGAGCGCTTCAGAACGCCAACTTTAGAATGCCAAACAGCATGCCAACAACAAATTTGTATAGCACCTTTCATGTCGGGAGGATGTCCCAAGGTGGAAATAAATGACAGTGGTCAGTGGTGACCTTGTTACCATTTCCAGGAGTTACTGGAATACCACAGACATCCAGAGGCCTTCTGCGGCTATACATTGCCCAGGAAATCAGCCAACATCAGAAATGAGAGGCTTAATGCCCTTCTGCTATACTGTGGATCACGGTGTATCTGTAAATGTCATTTGATGGCATTCACCCTCGAGTGTATGAACTTGAAAAAGGTTGGAATGTGTTTTATATACCTTGATTATTCTTGCAGATTATGTTATCCTCTCAACTTGTTTATTAGCTCAATGTATAACCAGTCTATCTGCTATGCTCTATTTAATAACTTACACATTACCACATCAAATAAAACTCACCTTATCATACATTCTATTTAATAGTCTTGGAACAACAGGGAAAATAGTTGGTCGCAGTGCCTTCATATCATCTGACAGAAGCTTAATATCACCTTGGAAAAATCCTATCCGGCCTCCATGGCATACAACTACAGACTGAAAGAAAATGAAAACAATATTCACTTAAAATATGCTCAGGTCGGAGCCGTATTTTTCACTGCGAAACAAATCTAACATCGGAAAGATTAGTGTCATTATACTGGATCTTTTCACATTTTTATAGTGGAAGATTCCACGATTTACTGAAAAGAAATGTGTGCGCTCTTGTGAGTCGGTGGGGTTCACTGACTCTAGCCTGGCCAGCTCGCCCTTTGGCCCAGGCTGTACATTTGTTAGGAGGGGATGCCTCTGAATAAATAGTCCACTCCCTAATCAGGCCAAGCCATTTTAGTGAGCAGCAGCTTTATCTCCCTCAGCATAACTCCGCGACGTAGGCAGTAACTCTCCCTCCTATTTTCTTTCCTTCTCAAGAGGGGAATCATCTGGCTCCACTTAGCATCTCCCTTTCAAACCATCCACAAAGAGCCTTGTGGAAACGCACCTTTTAGTTATTGCTATAGATTAAGCCTCAACGGTGTTTATCGGGGTAAATGGATCAAAAATTCATTTCTAGATTCATTTCTATGCCGTGGGTCAGTAGGTTACCCTTCTCAGTGTCGACACCACAACCAAAAAGATGCAGCGTTAGTTGTTTTTTTTTAATACTTCCTTGTTTCAGCAGTTCCTCGCGTGGACTTGATGCCGTTGCATATGGAATGTGATAATACAGCTGGTCTTGTGAATGTGTGCAATAAAAGTTGGAAGGGAACCAGTAATATTCAGGCATTTGGGTGGCGTTCTTAGCACTGACGCACACACAGCCTGAACCAGCATTAATCACGAACACTTTGATTTTGTTTATCACTAACAATGTGAGTTGTTTATTCAACAGGTGTTACCCACTGAAAAAAAACATACCACTCACTGGTTTAATGTTTTTTGATATTCAAAATATTCTACTTGATCTCTGTCCAGAATCAATACCAATTCTCACACCTGTTGCACAAGCAATATTTCTTCAATTTATAGTTCCTTTTTTTCATTGTACATGCAGAGAACATTTTCTGGATTTCCATATAGGTTGCATAGTATTTTACACAAACACTTGTATTTTTCTATCTGTATGTGTATTGATATTTCCGTAAATTACTACAAAAGTTTGATCCTTGGCTGGGGAAAATTCTTAATGTTCACATGTATATTAATATTGGCTTTCTTTTCTTGAATTAATAAAAAAAATGAGGCGTCGTCTAAAGCATTATATTCACAAACCAGATTGTGGTTCAGGAACGTGGGAACTGGAGTAGGTCATTCAGCCCCTTGAGCCTGTTTTGCCATTCCATTAGATGATGGCTGATCTGTACCTCAACTACAATTACCTGCCTTTGCCCCATATTTGTGGAGTCCTGTAGCTCAGTGGTTAGAGCACTCGCTTTGCAAGTGAGAGACCTGAGTTCAATCCAGGCAGAGGGCGAAACCTTGAGCAAGTTTCCTTACTCCACACAGAGCCTAATAATAATCCCTCCAAAAACCAAAAACAATAATAAAATTGGTCATTTTCAATCTACGACTGTATGTGGGACATTGCTGTGCGCAATTGGCTGCCGCGTTCGCCCACAAATATACAGTCAATTCACTTTACAGTGTGTTCTGTGAAGCGCTTTGGGACGTCCTCCCGACGTGAAAAGCGCTATATCAAATGCAAGGATTATTATTATTATTATTATATCCCCTGACCTAACAAAAATCTATCCACCTTAGGTCTTGAAAATTTGAATGGATCCAGGATGGGGGAAGTGAGTTCCTGATCTCCACTTTGTGTGACTTACAAAATTGTGAATCTCAAGGGGGCTCATCCAAAAGAGGCTGACAAATAAAAAAACACAAGTAAAACGGATTTCGAAATCCGGAAGTTGCCGCTAACACAACAAATGAGGTTTGTTAAATATCATCGTTTAGACTTCAGCGCACTCTGACTTTACCGGTGTATGGTAGGCTACCTGTCGTCTGCCTCAATGTTGCTCTGAACAAGTTTGTTGAACAAATATGGGCATCCAAATTGGGCATCAAAGTTTCTCTACATTTTCTGAGTGGAAAAAACAGGTTCGACTACATGCCTCCCAATGCAGCAGCCTGACATTGAGAACCCATTACTTTTACAAACAATCCCGTTGAGTGAGACCTCGAAATCAAATGTGTTCCATGGTATAGTATTCTCCATAGCATTCTGCCAATGTACCGTGCTTTCTCCTTGCATATAAATCTTCCCAGGAGATTCGAAAGGCCAGGAGGGTATACGAGGAAAGATTGGCAGTGAACAAAAGAAAAATACTAAAGGATTTTATCTAAAAAAACGTAAAGGAACAGTTAAAGAAAAAGTAGGGCCCATTAGAAATGAAAAGGGAAATCTAGTCAAAGAAAGTGAAGTTATAGCAGAGATGATAAAGATTGTAAGCTGGTGGTTTTTGCTAAGTACACTGTGTTCTTACACTTAGTGAATCCTGCCAAACAGGGAAGGCTGCAGTCACCTTCCTCCTCAACTCAAACATGTTTTTCACAAGACAAGAGAGAGACCTTGAAGAAGTTGTTCTTCAGCCTTTGCGTATTCACGCACAGAATAGTCAATACACTTTACAGTATATTCTGTGAAGCGCTTTGAGATGTCTTGAAGATGTGATACGCCGCTATACCAAATGCAAGGCTTATCATTCCAGCGTTGAGAAAAAGAATGTAATGGTGCCAGATACAGATGGCTCCTGGAGTCAAAAATGAACAAAGATATTCTCTTTGATAAGAGGATGTGAAACCAGTGATTAAGGAGGACTGAAAGAATGCAAATGAGTTAAAAAGGTAAAACGGATAAAGAACCAACATGAACTGGCCACGAGTAGATTCTGTGAAACCGGTGGTGACACCTGGTTAGGGGCTGGTATGAGAATACAGTATAAAAGTGTTGAACACAATACATTGAGAGGAGAGCAAGTCTTGCCTGACAAATCTGAGGTTTTTGGTAAAATAACTGAGAAAATAGATGAGGGTAATGCTGTGGATTCGGTATATATGGATTTTCAGAAGGCTTTTAATGAGGTGCTGCTTAGGAAGCTTGTTAAAAAAAAGACCACATGGGATTATTGGAAAGATAGCAGTAGGAATAGAAAGTTGGTTCAAGGAGAGGAAACAGTGGATGGAGTGCAGGATTCTCAATGGAGAGATGTAAACAGTGGTGTCCCTCTGGGTCAATGATAGCACCACTGCTTTTCTCCATTTATGTTTAAGAATCTGGATTCTGGTATAAAGGGGCACGAGTTCTAACTTTGCAGACAACATGAAAATAGGGAGTGCAGCTAACAACGTATATAAGATTATAAGCAACTTCAAGGAACATAGAGTAGTTCATTGAGCAGAGAAATGGCAAATTAAATATAATGCAGACAAATGTGAGGTTCTACATTTTAGGAGGAATAATAAGAACAAATGTATGTTAGGTGATAAAATATTAAAAGGAGGGCAAGAGCAAAGGGACTTAAGGGTTAGTGTACATAAATCCTAATTGGTGGCAAGACCTCTAGACAAATCTTAGCTTTTATAAATAGAGGTATAGAATATAAAAGCAAACGGGTTATGCTAAACTTTTCTAAATCGTTTCTAAATTAGAAATATTGGCCACCGCATTTTAGGAAAGGCATCAAGATGATAGAGGGGATGCGGAGAAAATTTATTAGAATAATACCAGGGATGAGTGGTTTAGTCCATGAGCGGAGACTGGAGAAACTGGGACTTTTTTAAAAATAACGAGGAGTTTTGATAGAGACAATACAGAGAAATTATTTCCACTGGTCGGTACATCAGTAACTAAAGGGATATCTTAACTAAATTTAAGATAGTTACAATGAGCAAATAGGGAATTTGGGAGAGTTTTTTTTTGTCACACAAAGTAGTTAGGATATGGAATGCCCTGCCAGACGCCAAGACTGAGGCAGAATCCATATTAGTCTTCAAAAGGGAACTAGATTAATAATAATCCTTGCATTTGATATAGTGCCTTATCATGACTTTGAGACTATACTGTAAATTGGATTGGCTGTGTATTTTGTGGGCAAAATGTTTTTTAAAAATACCCTAAAAAGAGTCAGTCCCAGGGTTACTGAGAGAGGGCAGGTAAATGGGACTGAAAGGTTTGCTCTTGAAGGAGCTGGCGAAGATACGATGGGACAAATGGCCTTCTGTGCTGTAAATTTCTATGGCTCTATCTTCCTAATAAAGGGCAACTCGTTAGAAACCCCCTGACTTAAGTGTTGGTTCTGACATGTACACTTGGCTACGTCCGGCTTCCAGGATTAACTAGACAACTTCTCACTGAAATTAGCTGACTTCCAGATCATCAGATCACGAGTGGGAAAAAAACCAAAAACAGAAAAGAGGAAACGGCTACTTTTCAGCAGCCTTATTGGTTAAACTTTACTAACCATTGTAGTTAGTAATCAGAGATATACAGCAGTAACACAATCCTTTCACCATTGGCCTATTCTTTTCCTTTGCCACCTGCATAAGCCTTTTCGTTTTCTTTGATACTAGTTCTTACCATCATTGTAGAACACCAACGCAATAATCCAGAAGCTCCATATTTGCCTTTAAAGGGTATACTCTAGTGTCATATTGTACGAATTGCTTGTTTGAATATTTCCCACTGTTTGTCAATAGTTTTACCAGCGAATAGATCCTCACACTTTATACTGTAATGAATAGGTGTTGTTCTGCTGTCTACATCCTTCTTACCTGTACCATTCTTTCAAACAAGTGTGCCAATGGCAAGTAGGACATGTGTATACATCATCAGATGTAGGTAACCATTGGCTCTGTAAAACATAATAAATGACATGCCTGGTGAAATGGACTCTTACCTGGATAACTCTCTCAAACATATGAGCCAGAGGCAAGAAGGATATGAGGACATCGTCTTGCCTTGGAAAGATCACTTTCTGCAGAGGGCATTGGGGAATGTGAGACAAAGAGAATACACTGACAGAAATACAAAGAGAAAGTTACAAGAAGAAAAAAAAGAAAATGACACCAGAAGCTATGAACGTGAATTGAAGGAGCGAGTGAGTGGAAAGGAAGTAAAAGTTGATAAGATCCTAGTCTGTGCTGTTACCACAACCAAGTTTATGCAATACATCACCCAGTTCAGAAATATAAATGACCAGCAAATTAAAAAAAGGCAAATAGTGTAAACTAGTTATGTTTAAAACAGTGTTTACAGTTCAATATAGAGGGTTAAAAGCATAGATAATAACAACAACTTGAATTTCTGTAAGTATTTTGCATTTTTTGGTAAGCAAATGGGGTTGCTAATTGCACTGTAAAATAATCCTTGTGTAACAAAGTCCATTACAACTGGGTTCCACTATATTTTTAATAATAATTAAACGTTTCTGGAGCCAAGATTGAGGCAGATTCAAGAGTGAGTCAACGTTTTGGGTCCATGACCCTTCGTCGGAATTGACGTTCTGGCAAAGAGACGTGGACCCAAAACGTTGACTCACTTTCCTTTCTCCATAGATGCTGCCTGCCCTGTTGAGTGTGTTCCCAGCGACTTCTGTTTTTGTTAGGGAGGGGAATAATTTGGCAAGGTTCCCATTTCTTATCACTTTCCAATGATCCTTAATAAAAATTGCACATGGACGAATGTCAGTCAAGGACCAAATTTGGTTCAGATGGGATTTCTTCCTCACAGTCAAACAACCTAAAGAATCCCAGTGACTAGGTTCACAAATTAAGACTGACACTGAGTAAGGTAGTGGGCAGTGCTCAGTGTCCATAAAAACATTCTTCAGAGAAAATTTTGAATCAAAACTAACAGAACTATTTTGATCATCAATATTAACCACTGCACCAGCTTCTGCACAGCAGCACAAGAGCAATATTGCAAGAAGTTCATTTTCATTCTTAACACAATTGCGTCCATTAAATACATTGGCAAGTGGGAAACGGAATGCAGAGAGATTAATCTAAGAAAAAAAATAACCTAAGATTATTTTCTTTGCAATCTCTTCCAGTTTCTTCTTCTTACTTTATATTTCATCTCATTAAATTTTGCAACAGTGCAAATACTAACACAGTCCTCTCTAGTCAGGAAGTTACTCTTGTAATAGTCGTTTGACAGCTTCCTGCTTTTTTTTAAATCAATAATTTCCCGGAACTGGTGGTATGAGGCAGCATAATATGATTGTATCTGGAAACAACTCGGGTGGCTACTGAAGGAACACAAGTGAAACAGGAGAACACATGCTCAAGTCATAGGCAATCCATGCAATGATACACATTCCACAACCCATCCGATGACGAATATTCAACAACCCAAGTTTAGAAAGCAATTGTTGATTGAATATTTGACATTAGCATGCAAAGTGACAATGCTTTCAAGACCTTTTCACAGGCAGAACCTTATCTGATTTTACCCTCCAAGCCAGGACTGGAGCTATTTTAATCTCTGCATGCAACTCTGGCTGAGACCAGCAAATACTGGGATTTAAACCGGTAGTGTCGTGCATAGAGCTGCAGCTTACAGCCTTTGTCTGCAAACCCCAACTCTATCCACTATACCATCAGAGCTGCCATGAAAATTATAATTTGCTTTACACAGTTACATTCGCGGGCAAAATCATATGTGCATTTATATTCACCTCTGTAACTTTCAAAAAGGCTGAAAAATCAGCCACCACATTCCCATGTGTAAGCATGGCTCCTTTAGGATTTCCTGAAAAGGAAAATTGTACTTCCATTAGCATTACAGAAATCCTACAAAATAGACAGAAAAAGTGACAGACAACTTAAGGAGCTACACAAGCAAAAATTGGTTGGGATGAAGAAAGCCCTTCAGCCCATTTGATCTAATATTTCCGGAATACCTACTCTATTGTCTGCCCATAACAGGAACAAGCTGCTTTTTTAAAAAAATGAATCCAGAGGGCTAGCCTCAATCATCATTCCTGGCAACCCTGTTTCAGTTAATTATCCTTTGGATAATTGCTCTACTGGCTTGGTGCATCCTAAAGTATTGCTCTCGGTTCACTTTTTCAATCCCATTTAAAATAATAATAATCCTTGCATTGGATATCGCGTCTTATCACGTCTTCGAGACGTCCCAAAACAGCTCACAGAATATACTGTAAAGTGAATTGACTGTATATTCTGTGAGCAAATCCCAGCAGCCAATTGCGCAGATGGTATACAACTCAATAAGTTTCCCACAGTGGCATCTGCTGTCAAGATCTGAAGAGCCTCAGCTTTTCTAAATGTTGCTCAAACATGGGATCATCCTCGTTGCTCCTCTAACACAGGGGATCATTCTTAGCTGCTCTCCTCTTCACTGTCTCTCGGGTCTTGGCAGCCTCTTTGTTTCACAATGACTAGACTGCATGCAGTACTTTAGGTGTGGCCTCAAGCAGAGCAATATATGGCCAGTGTATGATGTCTAGAGATCTGAACTCAACTGATTTGGCAACAGCATCCTGTTTAACTTGTTTATTGCCACTGCACACGTTTGTGATGTAGTGAGAAATGAATCAACTCGCATGTTTTTTCCGATTTTTACTCGCTATATGAAATGTTTTAAAGTTATCTGTATTAAAAGTCATCTGCCAGTTAGATGCCCATATGCATTCCTTAGCAAGCTCTCTTTGTAAGATCGTTGCTGCCCCTTCTGATTCCACATCTTGGTGTCACCTGCAAATTTATATATATATATTATATATACACACACACAAGGAACAGGAGGACACCCAGTACAACTCCCTGATGCATCCTACCTAAACCTGAATCCATATCAATGTCTTGCCCTTGATATCCAGCGACCAGAGTTTGTGAAGGAGTCTTTCATTATAGCGTCAATTATTGAGGTCAAGCTACAGTTACTACATATGATTCCATCAACTGCTTGAATATAGGAACCACATTTGCTTGTTTCCCCAACTGTTGGGACGTCCTCCTGACGTGAAAGGCGCTTTATAAATGGAATCTTGTTGTTGTTGCAACCTCACCAGTGATGATTGAGTCTATCAGATAAGTAAATGGGGAGGTTAGGAGAATTGTTTTTCACGCAGAGAGTAGTTGGGAATATGGAATGCCCTACTGGGAGCAGTGGTTGAGGCAGAATTTGTATTGGCCTTCAAGAGCCAATTACAGGGATAATAATAATAATAATCCTTGCATTTGATATAACGCCTTATAACATCTTCAAGCCGTCTCAAAGCACTTCACAGCATATACTGTTAAGTGAATTGACTGTAATGGGAAAAGGCAGGTAAATGGAACTGAAAGGATTGCTCTCGCCGCGTTCGCCCACAAATATACAGTCAATTCACTTTACAGTATATTCTGTGAAGCGCTTTGAGACGTCTCGAAGACTTGAAAAGGGCTATATCAAATGCAAGGATTATTATTATTATTATGGGAGCCAACATAGACAAGGTGGGCTGAATGGCCTTCTTCTTTGCCGTAAATTTCAATGGTTCTACAGTTCACAATGTCCGTCGGCACTGTACAAACCTCCTGTGTTTTCCCTCCAAGTAGTCTGGGGGGGGGTACGGTTCATCCGTAACAGGGATTTGTTGGTTTCGCCCACAAATTATATGCGGTCAATTCACTTTACAGTCTATTCTGTGAAGCGCTTTGAGAAGTCGAGAAGACGTGAAAAGCGCTATATCAAATGCAAGGATTATTATTATTATTATTATTATTTTAAGCCCTCTCCCTCTAAGCTTTCGTGCAGGCGACTGGAGCAATGCTGAAATTGTGCCATCAAATGACAATATAAACTGCTATAACAGTTATGGAAAGGTGCCAAGTGGAGAGCATGAAACCTGAGCACAGAAGGGTGAAGTGGTCAAACTATATCTAGAGCAGATGGGTTAATTTCAGGAGAGGAAGCATAAACCAATATGTTAACCCACTCCCACTGGCAATGTGACTAAAAAATTACTAGAGGTTCATTTTGACAAAACTACACAGTGTATCAGTACCACTGCATTATCTTATTCTCACAAAAACTCCCACACTGGGAAACTGGATCGGAGCAGTTCTTTCAAATCTGGGAGCCCATTCAAATCCAGCCGTGATTAACGGGATGGAATTCCTTTTTTTTTTTGACCGTTAGTGTCCTGAATAAAAAAGATTTTGGCAAAGTATTGAGTCCGTTGGTTCCAGAGCAATCGTAATTTGATACAAATTGATGAAGGTCACGGTCAACTGGAACAGATCAGGGGGGCCACCCTCTACCAACAAACCGTTTTTTTTTCTTTGTATGCCAACCGTAGCAATAATAATAATCATAACCCTTGCATTTGATATAGCGCTTTTCATGTCTTCTCAACGTCTCAAAGCGCTTCACAGGATAGACTTTAAAGTGAACTGACCGCATATTTGTGGGCGAAACGCGGCAGCCAATTGCGCACAGCAGCGTCCCACAAACAATGCACTTCTGTGACAGAGACTGTCAACTCAGTGCCAATTCGTGCCCACTTGATTCGGTGACTCACGCAAATTAATGCACGTCTCTACTGATTCAGCGCTCGTGAAGCTTTTCGTCCCTCTCATAACTATTACTTGTGCTGGGAAATAATATGGGTGAGTTGCTGTTAGGTGAGAAAACAAGTCAAGTCAAGAACCAGTCATTAATTCTAAAAATGAAATTAATAATGAGATCAACGGATTGTAGAGCTATCAGACTTGCTGAAGTGACTCATGTTCCACTGAAGACATGAATTCAATTGTTTATATAACTTATTTCATTATATTTCAAAAGCATCAATAGGATTCAGAAGTTTGCAATGAAAATAGCACTGGAGGACTACAACAAATCCCCTGTGTCTGTGGTGGTGACTCAACTCCCAACCTTCCTTACTTAGCAACTGATAAGAATCATTCCTAATGGCTCTTAAAGTAGAACATATTGTTCCCATTTGGAGAGGGCATATATTTAAATCAAAACGCAATAGTTTTGGGACTAGAATTAAAAAAACTAAACAAAAACTGTGGCTGTAAAACTGTGCAGCACATTGACTTGCAAGGTCTTGTGAGGGCATTCGAAAATAGCCAGCAAAATAAGCAGCATCGGCAGATTTCTTTTTAAAAAAGCATCAGGATTCCTGAAGAGGATAAATCAATCACGTAAGAACACTGTTCCTTGGAACGGGTGTGCGAGCAAGGTTTTCTGCAATATCAGCATAGCAAGATCTCTTTATCACAAAAGTGGAAAGCAGAGAGAAAACTTTCGGCATTTCTGGCAAAGAACAGTGCTTAAACCGAGGTAATAATACGCGCATTTTATACAGCGTCTTATCACGTCTTCGAGATACCTCAAAGAGTTTCACAGAATACACTATAAAGTGAATTGACTGTATGTTTTGTGGGCGAAATACAGCAGCCAATTGCACACAGCAGTGTCCCACAAACAGTCCTGGACTGAAGTGACCAATTATTATTATTATTTAAAATCTTTCAATTCAAGTTTAATCTTTTGGAAGGATATATAGACAGCAGATAGAGTGAAAGATCTTGATTTAAGTTAGTGACTGTGTATATGTAGGCAAATATTCTTATGAAATGCAGTGGTGACCTCATAATAAGACGTTCGAGACCTCTCCAGACAAGTTAAATGGTGTCAGCTTGCAATAATGTGAGTTAAGTGGCATATTTGAATCAATTATTGGTTTATAATGGCCCTTTGAATGAATTAAAAGCTCTGAGGCAGCACTATATTGACATACGAGTTTACATCAGTGCTGAGTGCCTAGAGACTTACGGAACAATGTAGTTTCTTTATAATAATTCTTGCATTTGATATAGCACCTTATCACATCATTGAGATGTCTCAAAGTACTTCACAAAATATACTGTGAAGTGGATTGACTGTGTATGACACAGATACCTGTTGTTCCACTTGTAAAACAGACAATGGACAAATCCTCGGGTCGTGGAGGCTGAGAACAGAAAGAAAAATATAGAAATCAAGAAAGGAAGAACAATTCAAACTGGTTAGAAAAATCTGCACTAAAACCTGAACACGCACAAAATGCATGTTTCTAATCTGATTGAAGTTGTCCTGAGCTTTCGATTTATTCTCACGTAAATACTTTTAAAATTTCCATTACTTAAACGGCAAATAAAATCAGGTGAGTCACTCACCACAGGGTTCCGCCTGTTCATTTGGCCAAGATTCTGAGAGTCAGACAAAGAACATTGCAGAGTGAAAATAGGAATAATTCTAAACATTTCAATGAACATCTGCATACAGAATACAACCTATTTCAGTCAGACTTGCCACGCACATTTTAAAAAGATTTGGGACTCCGCATGAGTATTTCTATTATGCACCGTGTAAAAGTCAAAAAACAAAAATAGTTCACGCTATAATTGGTGTAAAATGCAACCCCTTCGATCTATCTGGGGCAAGGACAGGCAATTGGACTTGAGGTACAGATCAGCCATGATCTTATGGAATGGCGGAACAGGCTTGAGGTGCTGAATGGCCTACTCCTGTTTCTATGTTACACTCAGTGTCAATGAGCACTGATCATTCCCAGATCAGAAGCAACCTAAATCTCTGTCTCTCAAACCCTTGCCTCAATCTTAGAATTCCCCACACCAGCCTCCTCGTGGCACTACACACATTGCATGAACATTGTCTGCGTACCTCCACTTCTTGCAGTGCCACTATTTCCACTCCACAGTTTCTTCCCATCTCAACCAATTCCGCCTCCAATGGATCCATCAGAATAATTATCTTCATGCCTGGAGTCTCCTTCTTCTCGACGTTCTTCAAAAGAATTTTTGCTTTCTCTTCATTATCACAGATAACTGTAGAAATCTCAGCTTAAAAAGGAAAAACATTGACAGGGCACTATAAAAGATGAACTATTATGAAAGACCCCTTGTCAAATACCTTGGAAATAATTATTCATCTTTGGGAACCAGTTTCACCCTAAACAGCAAGAGCTGTGGCATTTTTCAATGTTACATTTTTTGTAACTCCAAATGCATAATATTTTCAGCCTCCAATGGCTAAAGCAATAGTTTGACTTAACTGTTGTATATGGTATTGTATTTTCCACCAATAATGGCATGAACTGGTTTTGTTTTTTGACTTTTGCATAATAAATAATAGAAACACTTATGTGGAGTCACAAATCTTTTTAAAATGTGCACAGCAACATTTGCTTCTACTTCAACATTTTAAAGTTCGCAGATGACACAAAACTTGGAAACATGGTAAACAACGAGGAGGACAGTAGCAGACTGTGAATGGACATAGACAGGCTGGTTTGATCCTATTTAAATAAATAACTTTCAGCAATCAAAAGTTATGTGGCTGACTTTCCGCTAAATTGATTTAATAGCTGATGACCCTGGAGGAGCTGGAAAGCAACTTAATCAAAAGGCATTAAAAACTGGTAAAATGTAGGAATAAATTAATCTGTTTCTTTTAGGTCAGAATCTAAAGGTCCACTTGATTTCTATAGAATATTTACTTGTGATCTAAACCTCTTAGAGGAGATTAGCTGTACCAATTGCCGTCCAAGGATCCAATATGGAATGTGAATTGACACCCAGACGGACACACAGATTCAGACATTTTGTCTTTATCTATACTCAGTTAGGAGGACTCCTGTGGGAGGACTCCTTTTAGGAGGACACCTGTGGGAGGACTCCTGTTAAAGTTACGCTAACCGAAGGGGTTTACTGTGTGAACCAGCAGGCCCTGAATAATTGCAAGCTTCCGTGTAGATGACATTTGCAATTTCTCCTCCTTTGGCCATGTAATTTGGGGCTTAAATAAATCAATTTTTAAATGTAGCTCATCAACAATAGGAGATCCCCCCAAAAATATGCCCATGACACTTGCACATGCCAGAGCTTTCCAATGAGGTATAAATCATGTCTCTACGTCAATCGGTTATTACGTTATTGGCAGATACACAGACACACACATTGTCACTTTATTAATATAGATAGATGAAGCACCTCAGAACTGTGTCCTCTTAAATCACTTCATTTAAAGATCCTTTGATTTCACCTTTTTGACATTTGAAGTTTCTAAATGCGATACAAAATGATTTAGAGAAGTGTATTGTTGTTCCCTTTACCTGTATTAATTATGTAGCGAATGGCTTCAGGTCCAAGTGTGTCATAAAGTGGAACAATCACCATGGAGTAGGTATAGCATGCCAACTCAGCAATTATCCACTGTCGAGAAATTGCAATTATAAAATTACAGAAACAAGTGCCCGAAAGGAAAGAAAACCAGAAAAACTTCATGCACGTCAATAAAATTCACAATTTCTTTTGTAAACGATTCATTATTTGTTGAAGCTGTCTCTCACCTCTGGTCTGTTTTGCGCAAAAACACCAATGAATTGTTCTGGGGATGACCCGCAACCTTTCTGGAGTAATCCAGATCCTAGGTACTCTGCACGGTCTGAGACCTGTGGGGAATATATAGATGATTTGTGTCTGTGAGAAATCCATGGGATACGGTGCTCCTAGTTGGGACAAGCAGCAGGAAGCTTGCCAGCTAATGCTTTCAATGGCAAATTCTAGCAGTACCCCAACACACACTCTGGGGTCCCCAAGCCTTGGTTCTTGCCGACCTGTGCATAATGCTCTCCAAAATTATGTAATCAAGGTGCGTCTCTCCTGGGAGAGCGTGTGCTTTCCATAGTGAGGAATTTTCACATATAGATGAGATGCATAGGTTTCCGTATGTGTCAGACACTCAAACGACTGCCAAAAAATAAAGGATCTTCTCACCTCTTTGTAGGAAAGCCACTGATAAGGCTGCGCAGGTTTTCTGTAACCTAAAAAAGGACCATCACCTAAACAGAAATAAATCACACATCACTGTATACACTAAAAAGGCACTAAAATATTTTATAATATCCAATTCAACAGCAACAACAACTTACATTTGTATAGCGCCTTTCATGTCGGGAAGACGTCCCAAGTCACAACCCAAAGTAACACATTCTGGCTGTACACAATATTTCTCTATTCATTTTGCTAGTTCCAGTTATTAAAGATATCAATGTCTTTGAAGGGTATTTCACCTCAGTATTTACAGAAGAGAAAGGTAGTGAGATTTTGAGTTTGCCTACAATACAAAAATTACATTTGTACAGCACTTTTCATGTCGGAAGCACATCCCAAGGTGCTTTAAGAGTCCTGGGTTGGACCTTGAGCTGGGGTTGGGAACGAACAGATGGTACAGTGAAAGAGGTAGGTCTGGAGATGGATGTGGAAAGAGCCGAGGAAGGGAATGAGTTGGAGGACTCCAGGATGGAGTTCCAGAGGGTGGGGCGGGTAGACAGAAAGCCCGACCACCGATTGCGTGGTGGATTGGACTTTCTGTCTACATAAGCGTACTAGTGCCCTCTGAGTGATTTAAGAAAGCAATATTTTTGGGTTTCCCTACAGAAACATAACATTTGCTTCCTCTTCGACTGTGCCTATGGTCACCTACCCCCTTCCCCCGGCTTGCAGTTGTGCTCCACCATTGTCAAGCGCTGTGGGACACTATCCTGGTGAGGGGCGCTATATATTTATATAAAGTTGTTGTTGTTGTTGTTGACGACGACTCAACACATTTACACTTAAATTTTTTATTATTATATTATTATTAAAAATTGACATATCGTAAATAAAACTAATGCTATTCAGCAAGTTGATACACATTACACCAATCAAGAGATTTAATCGAAGATCTCACACTTATTTACTTAACCCCCTCAAGTGAATTCACAGCCACTCAGGCTGAGGGAAGTCCTTTCATATTTGAAATTAAATCTTTAGGGCACAAACAGACACTCACCTGTGATACGTAATCCTCTCTGGTACACTTCATACATTGTCCGTGTTTCATTATAGTAGTGAGTTAGAAGCTTTGGGCTGTCACTCAATACAGATCTGTGAGCTTGCTCACCACCCTAACAAAAGAAAATGAAAACAAAGTATTACTATCAGTTTACTGCACAGTGCTTCACAGTCAAATCATAAATAAGTACATCACTCGCTTATCAAAACAGTTCAGTCTTTAATTCAGATTCTATTCTGATCGGTATTTCTATAAATTGGGAGAAAATAAGATTATTTGCTAGTCTCTGTTTCTCAAGCCTTTTATCATTCATTCAACAACTGGCACGAATGCAATCAGATTCTCACGTTTTGTTTGATACTACCGGAAACTATACTGCTGTTTCCTCATTTACATGCTCCCGCTATGATTCTACTTCAAATAAATCTCTAACTCACAAAGACTGTAGTGCCAAATAAACCATGTCAATCTGCAACTTGATTGAGGAGTAGGCGGCAGAGGGAGACTGGTCGAAGAAAGAGCATGTTTCAAGCGAGAATTGCTTGTTACTGCCTTACCATTGACCTTGATGGAATACATTTATCTTTGGAAGCATTTTCACATTCCATTAAACTTGGGAATAGAAAAGCAGAAAGGTTCATCAATTACTTTTTACACTGTGGAATGATTGAGCTGAAGCTTCATGGAAATTGAGAGAAAGAATCTAGGATATTCTTCCCTGGCCCCAAGTCGATTTCAAATTAGGATACAGGCCTTGGAATACCTTGTACACCCAGTCCTTAGGCTGTTGTCAGGATACAAGAACTAGGAAGGGGAGAGAAATTAAGAAAGGTTCCCAAGCTTTTAAAAAAGGCACAATTTTCTTTTGAAAAGCACTCAAATTTACGAGATTGCTAGCGAGCAATGGAATACAATTATTGCTAGTTTGGCATATTAATCCTCATCAACATGGGCAGATTTAGGAAGTTCAATTTTATCTGGTTCTTGAAGAACAAAACTAAAGTTGGGACATTATTTTAGGCAACAAACTTTATTCTGATGCATCAGTGTGATCAGACTTATCGACTTGAACGCAGAGCTTACCTCAATTTCCTGTGATTGTTGAGAAAGGTCACAAGGTGGTTTCAAGGCTTTAGGTTTGGTCGCCAGCCAGTACGTTATAACAGCTGCAAATGAAGCGATTCCCACCAGTGTGGGAGGAAGAAGCATATGAACAAACTGGCTGAATTCATCTAATTCTGGCAGTCGCAGGCTCCTAAGAATTTCCTGTGCTCGCATCTTCTCAACGAGTGCACTCAGAACCTCTGCAAAGCAATCATGCGAGGGAAGGAAACAGTCAGATCACTTTCCGTTGAGGGTTAGGAATGTGAAAAGATAGCGTACGACTCAGGAGGAAAGTCAGGACGACTCTCAAGATCAGAAGCCTCATTCCAGTGCAACGCTGGGAAATCAGCTGAACCCTCCCCAACTGGCTGCGTCTCTAATGGCCAGTTTCAAAGCAAGATTGACAGAGGCCTCGGAACAGCTGTAGGCCGCGTAGCCAGGATTATGGATGTGGAGGCCCAAGAAAAATAATAATCCTTGCATTTGCAATAACGCCTTATCACATGGTCGAGACGTCTTATTTTAGAAGTGAGGGGGGGATTACTCTCATAAAACATTTCACTCCCCACAAATAACAATAAAAACAACAACTTGTATTTATAATAGCACCCTTCACACTGTGTAGCGTCCCAGAGCGCTTAAGTATACTGTATATGCCATTGATTACATTGGTAAATGAAGCACAGACATTTTATTATATTGCATAGTGACTAAGTTTATGAATCTCTACAAATCTCACATGTACAGATTTCTTATTCATTCCATCATCATCATTTGGATTGAACGAATATCTTGCGGTTTGTGGAACCAAACAAGAAATTTACAAGAAAACAAGTACTTTATATTTTCATGTAACATTCTTGTTTTGCTCACGAGGTCAAGACAAGATCATCTGGATCCCTTCAAGGCACACATTGTACATAGCAAAAATGTCTTTTGTAAGCCCCCCTACCTTAAGCGTTCAGGATCCCTGGTAGAGAAGGAGCTTGAGGAACTTTCCATTTGAAACAGAATGCTGCGGACACGAGTGTATCTTTTATAACTGTCAAGAGACAAAAGTTGCATCGCTTGATTGATTTGCGAGTGCTGCCACAAGTGGCCTAATGCCCAATCCGTACTTTCAAAGTCCAGGCATGTAGTTCAGTGTTTCACAGTACTGAGTCTGATATGGCACCTAATCACATCTTTGAGATGTCTCAAAACCCTCCACAGAATATATTGTATAAAGTGAATTGACTGTATATTTTGTGGGTGAAACGCGGCAGCCAATTGCGCACAGCAGTGTCCCACAAACAGACAAACAGTCGTGGATTGGGTAACCAAATTACTATTTATTTATTTCTTTTGAAAGGATAATCATCCCTTGAAAAGCGATCCACCAATCGATGAACAACCGGGTTTCTACTTACTGCTAGGGAAACAGAGGCGTGTAGAGTAAGGAAATTTGCTCAACGTTTTGTCCTGACTGGGAATCAAACCCAGGTCCTCACTAACTGCTAAACTCAGTGGTAAGAGCACTCTGTTTATCTTTAAACTTTTTAAGAATAATCTCTTTTTATCATTAAATATTTAAAACTATTTACACTCATAAAAGGACCTTTCACAAAGGGACCTTTCAAATCAATACACTTCAAACATATTGCAATAAATAAACCCAATGCCCCTTTCCCAGAGTCCTTTTATACTTCCTGAATCCCTCCTATTGATTGTCTATTAGTTGTCATTATCTTCCAATCTGATGATCTCTCCACACTATCCTTCTCCAGACTTTTCTTCACTCTTTTGAAGAATCTTTCTGGCCTTCTGTTCTTTCTGCTCAAACTGGTGGTTATTCCTTCTTTCTTCTGCTCTTCTGTTTTTGTTTTCTCTGCTTGTCTTGCTATTTTCCCCCTTTTTCTCCAACTCTGTTCTTCCTCCTCATCAATTACCCTTTTCCTGATTTCCCTGGATGTTCTTCTCTACACTTTCTCTCGTGCCTTTTATACAATATGACCTCGATTTTTTGTAATCACTTCTCGTTTTCTTTCCTTTTGTCCAATATTCTGTCCGGATATTCTTTCCTGAACCATATTTTTTCTCCTGGCTCAAAACTTTCCTTTCTCCATTTTGCCATCCGTTTCTCTTCACTATTTTTGGTACCTTTGGCTCTATCGGTTTATCACTGCTTATTAACAAGTCCTTTGATCTCCTTGACAATATTTGCGCTGGTGATATTTCACTATTCTTTATTGGTGTGTATGCCCAGTTCAGCAAGTGTTTGTCCTCCTCTTGTGTCACCAGTTTTTCTCTGCATTTTCTTTGTTTGGATTGTTCTCTCCACCACCCTGTTGATCTGTGGCTGTCCCCCAACTCTTTGTGAAATCTTCTGTGTTCTTCTCTTCAATTGTCATACATGGTCACCGATTAGTCTTGGATATTCCATATCCGTACAAACATGTCTTTTGTATCGTTGATTAATGTTTCTGCAAACAACTCCTTTAGTTCTGCCTATTCAAAATACTGTGCAAGTCAACTATGAGGTATTAATTTTCTTTATATTAGAAAAAGTCTGCTCCCATTTTTGTCTATGCTCAGATTGGTCTCTCAAGCCAAATGATAGTCCTCCCTGAGAACAAACCTCATTTTGGTTTCGGTCACATTTTCCAACGAATGGCTTCTATTTGACTATTAATGCCAGGTCGGCCAAAACATTACCTCTTGCTCTCTTCTCTCTCTCCGCTTCCCAGTGTCCTTCATTTATATCTGTCAGAAATTGTGTTCTGAACTCGTCTGGAATTATCTGATTCTCCTCAATACCATATTCCTTTTTGTCAGCACAAGTTGTGTTAATATGGTCTGACCTCTATTGGTTTCTCCTTCCAGCTTTTGGGCCATCCATTCTGCAATATGGTATTATTTCACTTATTCCAGCTTATCTGGTTGTTTATCTTTGTTTAAAAAAACAGAAGGACCTTCAATAGAATTTCTTTTAATAATTCCTGTTGGCTGCTCCCTTTCCCAGATACATTCCCAGTCTGCTTTCACTAATTCTTATTGGCTCCATAATTTTTATTAACTTCAGTAGGAATTTGGCACCCAGTTCACCATCCCCATTAATATTTGTATTCCTTTTTATCATTGGGTTCTGGCAACTTTGTTCCTGCTTCCACTTTCTTAGGATCTACATTCAACCCATTATGTGTGATTATTCCATCCAGATACTTGATCTGTTACTCTTATTTTGCAGTTTCCTCTGTTTAGTTTTACATTCTGCTCCAGATACCTCTGCAGCATCTTGCCAAATGTTCATCATGTTCTTTTCTAGTCCTTCTGAATATTAATGTCATCGATATAATTTATTACCTCAGGTATCCCTTCCAATATTTTGGAATATTTTCTGTGCAAAAACAACAAATTACATTGGTACAGTGTCTTTTACGTTGGGAGGACGTCCCAAGGTGCTGGATAGTCAGGGATTTGGACTCGAGCAGGGGATTGGGATCAGGAGGGGTGGACAGCAGGGAGGGTATGGGTAGGAGGGTGGTCGAAGGTATGGTCAAAGAGGAAGGTCTTGAGATGTGCCTTGAAGGAGGCAAGGGAGAGAGCAAGGCAAAGGGACTGTGGGTTGGAGTTCCAAAGGGTGGGGGCAGGAAGATTGAGGGCCTGGCCACCGATGGTGGGGCGGGTCGGGTGGGGGATATGGAGCAGGCTGGAGCCAGCTGAGCAGAGGGAATGGACAGGTCAATATGGCATTAGCAGGTCACAGAGATGGGAAGGAGCAAGGCCTTGGAGGGCTTTGGTAGGATCTTGGTTTGGATACTCTTAAGCGTGGTGATGGGTTTCTGCATGCGGCTGAGCAAAAAAAGAAAATTGTTAAGCAAGCACTATTCGTTGTCAGCTTAACCTGCCAATATCTTCCTGAACAATTCAATGTTGAATTTTTTTTTTTCTCCATGCGGTAGGTAACACAAGGGATGGTGTTTCATAATGCTCTCTTCTTATTGCTTTGTTTAGCTGCTGTGGGTCTAAGCATATCCTTAACGATTTATAATAATAATAATTCTCCATCTCCTATAACGACTCCATTTGCAGAGTCCTGTAGCATATTGGTTAGAGCACTCGCATCGCAAGCGAGGGGACCTGGGTTCGATTCCCGAGCAGGTGAAACCTTTGCAAGTTTCCCTACTCCACACACCTCGGTTTACCAAGCAGTAAGTGGTTGTTAACATGGTTGTTAGTCAACTGGCAGGTCACTTTTCTGGGAGTAATAATCCTTCCAAAGCAAAAATAACAATTTGGTCACTCAATTCATGACTATTTGTGGAACACTGCTGTGTGGAATTGGCTGTCACATTTCGCCCACAAAATATACAGTCAGGTCACTTTACAGTATATTCTGTGAAGCTCTTTGAAATGTCTTAACGATGTGATAAGGCGCTATATCAAATGCAAGAATTATTATTATTATTATTGGTCCTTTCTTTCATTAGTCCTCTCCTTCCAAAAGTCTGGTTGTATTTTTCCAATAAATCCTCAATTTCTAATTATTTACTTTCTTCTTTATTCACATTTTAAAGTTTTTAAAGTAGTCTCATTTTGATTGTGTCTTGCAGTCCAATCAAGGTTTCTGCCTTCACTTGTAGTGTGTAAAGTTTTATTTTATACAATTGTTCTTTGTACTTTATTTCTATCTCAACTTGTTCTCATTTTCATCTTTTTTTCAGTTTGATGTTCCTCTAAAGACATGATACTTGCTTCTGCTACTTAGCTAATTTGCATTTCATGTATTTTTCTCTTTTTGTGCACCATAAATACCACCCATTCTTTCTCTTCCTCTTCTTCTGTATTCACTCCACACGGTCGAAGGGGGGGGGGGCGTCTTGTCTTCCGAAGAGAGGGTGCAAGACGAAGGGACTGTGGGATGGGCAGAGCTGAAGACCCGACTGGCGATGGTGGGTGGGCCAGGTGAGGGATGTGGAGCAGGCCAGAACCTACTGAGCGGAGGGAGCTGACAGGTTGATATGTGGTTAGCAAGTCACAGAAGTAGGAAGGAGCAAGGCCGTGGAGTTTCTTGAAGGTGAGGACGAGAGATTTGAATTCTATCCTCTGGGGGATGGGCAACCATTGGAGCCTGGGCGAGGGTGGGGGTGATAGGGTCACGGAGCCTGGTGCGGGGGAGGATGCAGACTGCAGAGTTCTGGATGATCTGAGGCTTGTGGAGGGAAGAGTTGGGAAGGCCGACAAGCAGGGAGTTGGCATAGTCGAGCAGAGATGTAATAAATGCAGCGGCCTGAGGGGAGAGGCAGCGGGGTAGGAGGGCAATATTGCAGAGGTGGGGGAAGGCAGAGCAGGTCAATACTGTATTCTTCTTCCCTTTCACTAAAATTGGATTCTACATCCAAACTGTCTATCCTCACATTAGTCCTTGACCACACATGCCTTCTGTCCTGTGATCTTGTTCTCCATCTAATTTTCTGCTCTGGCCCTTGTCACTTTCTGCATTTCATTCCATTACTAACCATATCAATTGCACATATAGCATGCCTTCCCTTCTGCTGGATAGTATCTGAAAACATGTTCTAATCCGCACATCGCACATGCTTCATTTTGATTCTCTGTCTCTGCTTGTGTACAAAGTGACCAGTGAGCCCACTACACCAGTGTGAAAGATGCAATGTAACACCCATTTAACAAGGTTTTGCCCTTGTACACCTTTGTTACCCTGCAATCTCATTCATTATTTATCAGGCAACTGCACATTTTTGAGCAGCATACTGCTGAAGTCAGTGAAAGTATTTAGAAACACTGGAGAATTCTCCCTTTTGCCTCCTTAAGAAATGCAAAATAAAATGTGTCCTGTGGCAATTAAAGTCCTCAAGAAAATAAAATGGATTGCTGACTGATCATAAAGCAAGGATTTCAGCTGCTAAGTGTCTGCTGCAAATCACAAATAACGTTACCATTTCAAATTTGACACGAAATAGATTTACATGAATGCAGTCACAAACCAGAAAGAGACATTATACACAGGCAATAGGACAGGGGAAATCAAAATTAGATACATGTCTGCTGCATAATTATATAGCCACCAAATAAAAGAAAACCAAGAACTGTTCAAGATTTGACACAAAACTCTTTTAAACTGCTCGGTTTAATTAGATTGGCAAAATAAATGTCCATTTCAAAACTTAGATGCTATTTGCTGAAAAGGCTGAAATCTCCTCTTGTGTGAATGACAGTGTTTGGGTATAAAGGTACCAAACAGCCTTTTCCAGCTTTGTACTTGTTCTTGCAGCAGTGGCTCAGAATTATTAACCACCCTGATTCATTAATGACACTTAGCACATAAAGAGATGATCACTTACTGAAAAGCAGGTATGTACAGCCACAGACAAGAAGTAGTGTATCCATTTTTTTTTCCAGCAATCTTATGTGCTGCACCCACTCACAGTACTGCAGCACAGACTGCAGCAGGATGGTGGATTTATAGGAATGAGTCATCAACATCATCCCATTGAGCCAATGAAATCCCCAAGGTTAAAGCATGCTGCAAGCCATGGATTGTCTAAAAAAAAATGTGAACCACCTTGTTCGTAACCATCCATTCAACATATGTCTTATCCTCACGCCAACATTGTCATTAAATAACCTTTCCCAATATTGGACTACCTGCTACCGTTCCTGACGCTCATCGAAACGACAGGACTTTATCGCAAAGTGAAAATCTGGACGACAATTGGGATTTTGTTCACAAAATAAACAGTCGGTTCACTTTGCGGTATGTTCTGTGAAGCGGGTCAGACGTCTAGAAGACGAGATAAGGCTGTAACACGCAAAGATCAAATGCAAAGATGACGACAATGCTGAAATACATCAGATTAGATACTTACACAGTGTAACACTGAGAAACATCATCATACAAGTTATGAATGCCAATGTTACGAGATAACAGTTCACAGGCTTTTAAGATCAGCTGATAAGCAGTTAGTAACCAAGTTTATACCTTAGTTTATACCATGGAACTTATCCTGGCGCCACAAGATGTTTTTGGTGGGTGGGGGGGCCTTATCTGTAATTAAAATAAGAGAAATGTGATCAACGTTTCCCGCCAAGGGGTTGCAGAAAGACATTCATGGAACTTTGTCTGTTCGAGATAATAATAATAATAATCCTTGCATTTGATATAGTGTCTGATCAGGTCTTCGAAATGTCTTAAAAGTGCTTCACAGAATATACTGTAAAGTGTAGTGAGTGTGTATTTTTTGGGTGAAACAATTTTAAATGGGATTAAGCCTTGTTTATTCCTACCTCACATTGTTACGAGGTTTCATGAGCAACCTGGAGTCTTGGTTTGTGAATGCACATTCATATATCCAGGAGTTGCTGGGAACACTCAGCAGGTCAAGCAGCATCTCTGGAGAGAAGAGAGTGGGTTAGGATTCCAGGTTGATGACCTAACGGCAGAACTGACCTTTCTGACAAAAGCTTATTGACCTGAAACATTAACCCACTTTCCTCTCTCCATAAATGCTGCCTGACCTGTTGAGTATTCCCAGCGACTTCAGATTTTTTATTTCAGATTTTATCCCTGAACCTTGGCTTTGGTCAACCTGTACCAAATTAGACAATCAATTCACTTACAGTATATTCTGTGAAGCGCTTTGAGACGTCTCAAAGACATGATAAGGCGCTGTATCAAATGCACAGATTATTTATTATTATTATTGGATCTTTAACATCCACCTGAACAGACAGATAAGACCTCGGTTTAATGAATCAGCTGAAGGATGGCACCTCCAACATTGCCATCGGAACAGACCAATGTCTCATCTAAAGGACAGCTTTCTGACAATGCAATGCTTCTCAGGAACCACACTCGATCATTAGACCAATATATTTTGGCAATTACATAATGTAGCCAATAAAATAAAAATTCAAAGTAACGATTTTTAAAAATATATATTTTTATGATTGTTATAATGTTTTTGGTATTGTCCATTCTGGAGTCCTGTAGCTCAGTGGTTAGAGCACTCGCTTTGCAAGTGAGAGACTTGAGTTCAATTCCAGGCAGAGGGCGAAACCTTGGGCAAATTTCCTTACTCCACCCAGAGCCTAATAATAATCCCTCCAAAAAAACAAAAACAATAATAAAATTGGTCATTTTCAATCTACGACTGTTTGTGGGACATTGCTGTGCACAATTGGCTGCCGCGTTCGCCCACAAATATACAGTCAATTCACTTTACAGTGTGTTCTGTGAAGCGCTTTGGGACGTCCTCCCGACGTGAAAAGCGCTATATCAAATGCAAGGATTATTATTATTATTATTATTCTTAATCAAATAAAAAGCAGTAATTGCTACTTGAGGAATACACCAAACACAGGGTGATACCAGTGAAGGTTTTGCTATCAGGGGTAAATAATGCTTCAGAGAGCCTCATCTTTTACAACTGATGCCAAATCTCAATTGAGTGTATTTGCACCTTGTACGCATAGAGCAGCCTTGAAAATATTAGTTGCACCATTATGTAAGTGACTTGGACACTGGAACTTTGCAATTCTCTGCAAAAACAATATGATTCTGGTATATGATGATGTACTGACAAACAAGGAAGTCTCAAAGTTGCTGTGTACAGTTAAGGACACTAAGGCTTATGTCTCAAAACTGGATATTTTCTAATATTATTGTTAGAACTACTGCTTCTGGGTTCAGAAACGATAAATCTATTATTCACATAATTACAACAAACTTTGACCTAGTCGGAGGGGAAAGGAATAAACAAAGAAATCCATTCATGCCAAGAGCAAACTAAACTCATAAGATTTGAACCTTAACTCCTTTTAGTGTTGACAAAATATCTTATTGTAATTAGGATGGAAGAGATTATAAAGGGAATATGATTAAATTAAGCTCTTTGTGCAACATTTTTAAAAAATATTCTGCGTGCCTATGTTCTCCATTTGTCGTGAGCTTCCATCATGCCCTAAAGCTCTGCCCACCTATGATTTCCTCCAAGTGCAAATACAAAACATTTAGTCAGAGGTGTCTTTGGATAAGATGTTAAACTAAGGCCATTTGGTCAGTACAAATTTCATGACACTATTTTTCAAACAAGTTTTGCAACCAGTTTTGTGGTCAACAATCCTCTAAGATTAATTGTTCCTTCACCTCATGGTAGTTTGTGGCACCTTGCTAGTGCAAATGGACGTCACGTTTTCCTACAAAAACATTGGTAATTACCTGTGACATATTTCAATATGATAAAGAGTTATTTATTTACAAGATTTTCCTTTCTTTATGGTTGGTTCAAACAAGCTACCTGGTAGGTTCGACCATTCTTAAGACAATTTCAAGTGGAAGGCATTCAGCAGGAACCAGCAGTGGACTTGCTGACTGCCTGCCCAGGAAATATGTTACCTTTATTCTTTGTCTCATGGATATAACATCAGCAACCACAGAGAGTGGCAAATCGAACGTGTGCCATCTCACTTATTTGAGTTGTAATTATCACTACATCATATAGCTCCACTGCACTTCACATTTTCTCCATTTTTTTTTAGCACTGCTGCCTTCTATATACAGCCACCACCTTTTCATATAACTCAACTTTTTCCTCATGAAAATCAAAGCAGCTGTGCAACATTTAGACCTATCTCGGATACGAATGGAGTAAATTTATTCCTATCAACTTTATTTTTCCCCATTGGGATCAATTCAAGCTTTGGGTGTTGGCCTGTTTAAATACCTGCAGGTCTAACTCAATGTCAATCTACTTTTTTTTTTAAAGAATCAATTGACATATAGTCTACCCTAAATTTGTAGGGTACAGTCAACTCCGGATAACAGGACACTGCCTTAACTAGTCACTACCATTTAAGTAGTCATGCCACTGCCCATGCCGAATGTTAATAAAGGGCTCTGCTTTACTTGTCACTCTGTTTAACGTGGAACAAACTACATTGGAAGCCGGTTAAGCCGGACAAGTCGTGGACGGCCCTTTTGTCCGGTTTAGGAGGTGTCCGAGGTTAGCCGAAATACCATTCCTGTCCATCTGAGGAGCCATACCGACGACGTAGAATAATATGTAATAATGTTGTTTCACTTGAAGGCAATATAAGCTAACCAAACAGGACGAAAAGTATTTTAACCTAAGAGTTGAAGTTAAAATACTTTCACAGAATTCAGTAAATGTATTAAGCTGGAACAAAGAAGCTTGAGATGACCTGATAAAGGTCTTTAAAATGATGAGAGTTTTGATAGTCAATAGGGAGAAATTTAATGATCAGGGCATCAATTCAGGATAGCTAGTAAAAAGTGAATAAAAAGGTTAGGAGAAATGTTTTCACGCACAGAATAGTTAGGATATAGAAGGCCCTACCGGGAGCAGTCTTTGAGGTAAAATGCACATTAGCCTTCAAGAGCGAACTAGACAGATACCTTTGAAAAAGTCGGCTAAAGGTGTAAGGGGGAAAGGGCAGATAAATAGGACTGAAAAGATTGCTCTTGAGAGAGGTGGCATAGACACGATGGGTCGAATGGCTTTCTTCTGTGCCATCCATTTCTACGGTTCTATGGTTTGATTGTATTAAAAGTATAAAAAAGATTTATTGAGATAAGTACCCTTCATATAATTTATGATTATGCAATCCTGCTATTAATTAATTATTTGGTGTGTTTTCTGTACGACGTATCGAATGCAACCACTGCAAAACTCAGCGTGCAAAACCTTTGTGAACATACAAAAATATAAAATACCACCTTATAAATATAAAATATATCGCTGCTGGAACTGAATCTTGCCTTTTTGGGAAACTTCCAGTTCATACGTGCTTGGACATGTCAAGGTGATATTGTTTTGTTTCAATTGAGTAATCTGCAGTTTCTGTAAATTTATTCTCTGTTGTGTACTGGAACCACATGTTATCCATTTCTTCTCAGAGATCAGCCACCAGTAGATGGCACTAAGTAATCTCTACAAAGAGGGGAAGGTCTGGAAAAATAACCAAATATAACAAGAGCAACAAACTTAGTCTTGCTTGTAACGGGGAGAATTAATTGAAATTAATGTGTGTTCGAATGTTTATTTGATTAAAATTTAATCATTTTTTCGCGTAAGATTACTTGAGAATCAGAAGCGATAATTTAATGACATTTATTCAGGCAATACATAGAAAACTCCTCTTTCATCTAATAACCACTAAGCACCTCATTTTATTAGGTCACCACACTGATAATAATAATCCTTGCACTTGATTTTTTTTAATCCTTGCATTTGATATAGCGCTTTTCACGTCAGGAGGACGTCCCAAAACGCTTCGCAGGATATACTGTAAAGTGAATTGACTGTATATTTTGTGGGCGAAACACGGCAGTCAATTGCGCACAGCAGCGTCCCACAACAGAC